TTTTTAATTATTTCATGACAAACTTTGAACTTTTTTGTATAGTTAAAAATTCAATCTATCAAACTTTGTACCTTTTTTTTCTATCTCACATGTCTTTACTGAAGACACAGGAAACAACCCCTCATGTTCACCCAGTCTCCCTTCCAAGTATCCATCTTCGTGCTCTTTCACAAGGGTGATTATATCTCCAATTTGAATTGTTAGATCTCCAGGTCTCCTTTTGTCAAAATTTTGTATAGCCTCAACATAAGTATCTATTGTATAAACATAATTCATCGTCAAAAAGTTACTTATAAAAAAAAAAAAGTTGTGGTTTTATTGCCAATGAGGCAACTCTCAGTCAAATACCAAACGATTTTAACCACTAAAGGTTACCGTTTGACAGTGATCAAAACACATAACGCATATTAAACTATAAAAGACAACACAATTACAAATGTAAAATAGTTCCGATAAGAAAACTTCAGGCTTGATTAATGTTCAAAACAATAAATGAAAAACAAATATGATATTCAGCGAACAAAATCACAAACAAAAGTACAGATCCTAAAAGTACTCAAAGTTACTGAAAGCTAGTTAAAAGCCAAAAACAAATTAAACAAATCAGGTGTCTTAGGCTGAAAGAATATTGCAACGGGAACTTTACTATTTAAGCCTTGTTGCACTCGTGTGTTCGTATATTAAGTGTTAATGCTTAAAAAGCATCACGCTGTTTAAAAAACAGCGTGTAACAATATACATGTACTTAACTATAATGATACTCCTAAAAAATAAACTTCTATTTTGGATTAATAAGACTCTTAAACAATTTTTTATTCGAGTTGTTCTTTGTTATAATATACAAGTACTTATAAGTGAACGTTTAAGATATATACTGCCATAGGTTAATATTTCGTACCAACAATATATAAGTAAAAACTCATCAAAGTTACAGATCATTTCATTTTGTCAATAAATCATGCTATACATTTGATTACTCTGCAAATTTACGCATATTCACTAATAACCACATAGTTTGTTGTGTTCATTGTCCTTAGTTACTTTTAAAAATTTTACTTTACAAGAAAACATGACATACATAATGAATATTCTTATTGTAAGATGATCATTTTTAGTGTCAATAGATATGAGAAGATGTGGAAATGAGTGCCAATGAGACAACTCTCAATCCAAGTCACAATTTGTAAAAGTAAATCATTATAGGTCAAAGTACGGTCTTCAACACGGAGCCTTGGCTTACAACGAACAGCAAGCCATAAAGGACCCCAAAAATGACTAGTGTAAAACCATTCAAACGGGAAAATCAATGGTCTAATCTATATAAAAAACGAGAAACGAGAAACACTTATGAACCACATCAACTAACGACAACTACTGAACATCAGATTCCTGATATAGGACAGATGCAGTGGATTTAAACGTTTTGATAGGTACCAACCTTCACCCTTATCTGAAACAATAGTGTAACCTCACAACATATAAAGACATACTATAAAATATCAATTGAATTGGCTTAACTCAATCAAAAGACATATTAGCACATGTGATTATACACCGAACGAAAAAAAATGAGATATGATACAATGTAAATACAAAATCAATAAAATAAGGGGTGAATAAATATGGACAACAGTTGTATACCGCTGAGAGATGTTAAACAATTTTCCGAAAAAACAAAAATAACTTGGACCAAAAATGCCAAATAATAATATACACAGGTAAATGAAAATATTTTTGTTGTAAGGTATACAGTTTAAATGGAAAACTGAAATATTTTTACAAAATGAATAATTTTGTTATTCATAGCACCAAGAAGTGAAAATTTATAGTCATACCAAACATTTTTCAAAGCTGGTATATAGACGAGATATCACCCTGAATAAGTAAATATTGAATAACAAAAAAACATTACATATCCCACCCGGCACTCAACGTCATTTCAACGTTGATAAATGGTTGATGTTTGGTCATGACGTTGTTTCAACGTTGTTTCAACGTTGAAATAGCAACGTTGAGTTTAGGTTGAAGAAAGAATGTTGTTTCAACGTTGAATTTCGGTTGTTTCTACAACGTTGAATTATGGTTGCAGAAAGTATGTTGTTTCAACGTTGGATTTTGGTTGTTTCTATAACGTTGAATTATGGTTGCAGAAAGTATGTTGTTTTAACGTTGGATTTGGTTGAATCTTCAACGTTGAATTTAGGTAACAGAAAGTATGTTATTTCAACGTTTAATATAGGTTGATTCTTCAACGTTGAATTTAGGTTACAGAAAGTACACTGTTTGCTGAATTTTGGTTGAATCTTTAATGTTGAAGGTATATATGTTGAAAAATGCTGTTTAAAAGTTGATTCTTTTATGTTCAAATCAAGGCACTGGCTGTGGTTACACACAGAAACTAAAAAACAATAAGAAATAGCTAAATTGTTATAAGCGCTGGTGAAGTGGACCCCCTTTTTTATTTTTGTGTTTCTTTTATTTAATTGACAATATTTTTTTTCATATTTCAACCTATTTTTACTCAATTTAGCTTATAGTTAATAATTATAAGTGCATGTTCAACAGTTTTTATATTAAATGCAATTCTACTTTATACATTTTCCCTCTTATTCAATTGTATATACGACTCCCGATACGACTTAAAAAGTCTCAATATATTTTTTTTGGTTAATTACAAACAATTAATTAACAGTGGCAGATCCAGATTTTTTTTAAAAGGGCACTGACTATAACCTATAATATATAGGGGTCCGCTCTAGTCATGCTTCAGTGATTCCATTTATAATTTACCCCCCCCTCCCCCCCCCCCCCCCAAACACACACACCTTTGATCCGCCTATGAATACTAAGCGGTGATAAAACTGAATAGCAGAAATGGTGACTTTTTCAAGTTCAGGTTGTATATAAATGCCAAACGAATGACCAACTTTAACTAATTAAGTCCACAATATAATTATATCGTCATATTGACAAAAATGATAGTCGGAAATTATCAAATAGAACGAAAGCACGCGTGCGCGGCTTTTGGCGGCATTTCTCTGCATACGCGCGTTGGTCAAGTCACTCCTAAATCCAAAACAGCACATCACCCAGAAGAAGATTGTATTAGAAGTTTTGTAAATATATATTAACTTGTCTACAAATATATGGATACTTTAAATTTTGTTTTATCATACTTAAAAATTATATATTATTCTTTCAACATCAGTTAGATAAACTGTTTAGTCGCGACAGGAAATATATATTATTGCATGGTGGACATTTTGAGGTGAATCAACTGAACATTCAAAGAAATTATTAATTAGCCAACACAATTTGTCAGTTTAAATAAACGTAATTAAATCAATTCATATTTATTCAGATAAGATTGCTTCTGGGTATGGAAATTATGTTTTAATTTAAAAAAACGAGGTGAATTTTGACACGGAACAAAAAACCGGAAGTATGTTCGCATTTGTAAGGATTTTAGGTAAATTTATAAACAAAAATTTGACACGCTAAATATGATCAAATATAAAACGCTCGTATTTACGCTGTCTTTGAACTAAGTCATTGAGTGTAGTAGTCGGTCGAGGACCAGCTTAATATATTCTAACCAGATGATGTAAAAAAATGAAAAAGTAAGATGAAGGACCTCGTTTTGAATCCTAAACTTTTTTTCAGAAATTAATGAATATAACTGTATAACATAAATCACCTGGAACTTGTACAGCTGTCATGACTACATGTAGTCATTATTGAAGAGTGACCATGACTTCTCTAGTTGAAAAATTAACATATATTCTTGCATTTGTAAACAAATGTAATTTATGTAGTAAATCACATTGTAGTCTGTTTTGTCCCTTTTATTACAGTGCGGCCGAGATAAAGCCATTAACAAAAATTCAGTGTTGAAGATTGAATGCACCACCCGGGGGGCCTACTGACCATCTTTTTGGGTATAACTGTGCCGATAGCACTTGCCAAATGAGACCCTGTTCTAACCAGAAAATATTGAAAAACATACCCTGTTCTAGACACACTCAGAACATTTATACCCTGTTTAAGATATTTAGACTGTTATTTTACATAAGCGATCCTGTTCTAGACTGTATGTTTAAAAAGTGTCCCTGTTCTAACAACAGGACATGAAAAAAGGACCCTGTTCTAAAAGCATGGCATGAAAGAAAAAGGGACCCTGTTTTGCGGCACACCCATACCACGTAAAATATATATAAAGATATATAATACAGAGTTTTATTTCTACTGTACTCAATATCCTGTACATATAAAAATAAGAAGTGGTATATATCGATGCCAATGAGACAACGAATCCATCCATCATGTCCAAGACTCAATGCAGTGAAATAATGTACATTGTAAGTGTATACACCATGTTATATGGAAACCTGGGTTGATTTTCCTTTTTGATTCTTACAAAATAGCAGTAGTGGTAATCTTAGTATTTTATTTTTAGTAGCGAGTGATGCTTTTGTATATCTTGGCAACTTCAAATAAAATTGAGTGAACAAATACTGTTTTAAAATTCATGTAAATAATATAAATTGAACAAAAGAAGATGGGGTATGAGTGCCAATTAGACTCTTAATCGAAGATTTATTGTACATGTATTTAATTCATGTTAATTGTATATATTTAGTCAGATTCATCATTATTGTATCCATGCACTTGTAATTGACAGAAGTAGTGAATACACTATTTACTTTTGTCTGTCTCATGATGATGGGTGGCAAGGTCCTCACAAGGTTGGTGTCTGTCTCAGATGGTCATTCTTAACCTTTTTAAGAAGGTAAAAATGTACTAATGGGTGTGGTTTCATTATTTTGGTATTTTGCTTTTAACAACAAGTGACACTTTTTCAAATCCTGGCAGTTTGAAATAATAAGTAACTACAAATAGGGGCTGGTGCACACTTAGTTACAGATGTTACCATCATGTGTACCTGTATATGCTTTGAAGTTATGCATTGCATACAAAATGTCTCCAGGAGCTACATGTAGCATGGTCAGATAGATGTCAAGAAAAGATATTTTGGTCTCCTAAGAGGGATATATAATCGACAGTTTATAAATTTATGTAAATTTTTACCCAAAGGTTTGAATTTTATTTAAATTTTTTTACCAACTATATAGCTAACTGACATTGAAATTAGCAATAAATGATTAAAAAATGTATAACTATTTTCACTGTTTCATTACAGGTTTTATAGTCTGTTGGTTATTTGATTATAAGTAGTCTGGATATACCATTATAAAATAGGATGGCAGAAGGAAATGGAAGAGATCTACCTGTGAGTTTATAAAATTACTTTTTTTAAGCATTAAATTATAAAACCGAAAAACATGGCTTCACTCAGCGTTGGATGTTGATATCTTATCAATAATAAAAGTCTGTAAATTAAATACATGTATTAAATTAAATCAATTATAAAAATATAGCACTCGCAGAGAGAAATTCATCTGTGATGGTTTCTCAATTTCAGAGATGAATCCATTTTGCAGAGGAGCCTACAGGGAGGAGATAACTGCTATTTGGCATGTTGCATGAGAATGCATGTCACATGTTTTTGTCACAATCATGTTTATTGAGGATTTTGAAATATTTGACCCCATAGAATAAACAAACTAGGCTATATATATATGGAACTTTAATATAATGTTCCTTAGAGTATCTATTTTATAAATTGTATAAGTTTTGATCAATTGACAAACATGACCGCCATAGCTATAAATAGAACATGGGGGTTATTTTAAGGAAATTTTGCAGTTTTTGATCACTATCTTGAATATTATTATAGATAAAGAGAAACTGTAAACAGTAAAACTGTTAAGCAAAATAAGATCTACTTATTAGTCAATAATACCAAAATTGTCAATTGACCTTTTAAGGATTTATTGCCCTTAAAACTTAAAGATATTTTACTTAATTTCTTTTACTTGTTAGCTTACTTTAAAAAATCTTCTCCTTTGAAACTGCTGAATAAATTTCAGCCAAACGAGTTTCAGAGTATTTAGTATAAATTTTATATTTATTTCCTTGTACGTCAAGAAACATAGCCTGTATTGGCTAAAATAGAACATAGGGGTAAAATGCATTGTTTTGCTTTTGAAGAAGATATGACCAGATTCAAGAATATATTTATATAAATTAAAAAGCCAAAATAATCATTGATGAAAGATTTAAACAAATAATTTAAGGTGAGCGATTCAGGCTCTTGAGAGCCTCTTGTTTATAGTTACTTGTACAATTCTTTCCAGAATTTTATGAAACTTATGTCATAGGTTTATATCAACAATTCACATGACTCTGACAACTTCAAAATTTAGTACCAATCACTTTTTTTAATAGAAAATTTTCAAGAATTTTATAAAACAAATTCTATATAGAATAATATCAGCAATATCTCTAACAATTCTAAAATGGTTGCCATTTGACTTTTTAAAAAAGAGTGATGCCATCTGTATTTGTAACATTTGATAAATGAATTATTTGCAACGTGGGGAACATGGAAACTATGTTCTCTTATATATTTTACTTCAGAATCACTGTTTTCTATTCTTATGCATGTAAACCTAAATGCATGCATGCAGCAGAGCCTCATGGGCCATTTTTTATATAAAGTTTTTTGTTTGATTGCTGTATTTTTTGGAAACTTTTATGATTGAAGCCAGAGTATAGAAAACCAAGAAAATCTCTGAGGAAACTATATAAAAAATAATATGTTATAAAGTCATCCTTTAATAACAACAATTGTCCACATATTAGTCAAAATTAAAATGGTTACCCAAGTCTTAAAAATGTACCCAAAAGCCCCCCTTCATTTTATTGAAAATTTTAAATGCTGCTGGAAAATTATCATTGTGTGGATCTATAAGAGACAAAATAAATGTGAGCATATCTTCAAAATGGTTTTATCAAGAATAATCTTAGAATTGTCAGTTATATATACTAATATCAATCTGAAACTTGATAAAAAAGAATATTAATTTTAAAATTTCTGCCCAGCCTACATGTATACCCTATTTTGTTTTGCCTAATCTATGAAACATCAGGGGCGGATGCAGGAATTTTCAAAAGGGGGGGTGCAAAATATATGTCCCGATACAAATGCATTGATCGACCAAAATAAAGGGGGGTGCGAACCCCCGGAACCCCCCCCCCCCCCCCCTCTGGATCCGCCACTGAACATTATGTCACAAAGAAACAATTATTAAAATTAAAGAGATAATTTTCAGACTTAATAAAGGCCAGACTTTTTTTATTATTTGTTAAGAGAGAAAATTTTGGGCGAAATAGAAATAAAAGTCAAAAGTTGTGCTCAGTTGGTTCCAAAAATGAAAATACAATTAATTATGATTAGAAAAAAAAAACCTGCAAAATAACTAACGGTTCTAATTCAAGATTATTTTTTTTCTGGTTCTTAACATAGGGTAGGCAGGTAGGAGGGAAAGTAAAAATAAAAGTTGACAAAGTCTATTTTATTTTGGTTTTCCAAAACTTAGGGTAGGCTTATGTCGTTGAAAAACAATAAAAAGTCTAGCCTAATGGATTATCATATTTATATTAAAGGGCAAACGAAATGCATGATCAACTTTCAGGAATTTTAACACAACATATAACATGTATAAACATATGCATGTAACAAAATTCAAACCTTTTACAGCGCTCATATCTTAGAAGATGGAGAATGTATAACACTGAGGTAGAAAACTTGGCTTGCCTAAGTGATGATGAGGAAAGTGTGTCAAGCCATGTATCAGCTGTACAAGAAGGTTCAGATAGAATGCATGAATTGTCTGAAAGTCAGAGCAGTAACATTAATATTAATCATGAATATGGCAACAATGAAAATGAAGCGAGTAGTGATAATGTCGAAAGCAGTAATGATGAAGAAATAAGTAGTGAAGAAGAACAGAGTAGTGAAAATGATAGTTCTGGAAGTAGCCGAGTATCAAGTGAAGATGAACAATCTGATTCTGATAATAATGATCTTTGTAAAGATTTAGCTGAATGGGCCACTGAGAACAAAACATCAAGAGATGGCTTAAATTCTTTGTTATTTATCTTTAGAAAATATGGACACCGCGTTCCAAAGGATTCTAGAACACTGTTAAAAACTCCTCGACATATCGATATAAATAAAAAATGTGGAGGTGACCATATATATTTAGGAATTGAAAGTGGTATTTTAAAAATTTTGACTCAAAACGCAAGACATTTTACAAGAAATAATGAGCTGTTGTTAGATTTTAACATTGATGGTGTCCCACTTTTTAAATCATCAAACACACAGTTTTGGCCTATATTATGCAGTTTGTCAAAATATGAACCTTTTAAAGTGGCTTTATACTGTGGAAATTCCAAGCCAAATTCTGTGCAGGCTTATTTGTCAGATTTTTTAGGAGAGTTGGAAAATTTAAAAACGCATGGAATAACTTTTAATGAAATTTTATACACCGTCAAATTAAATGCTTTTATATGTGATGCTCCAGCCAGGTCCTTCATAAAATGTACTGTAGGTCACAATGGTTACTACAGCTGTGAAAGATGTACCATTAGGGGTGAGTGGAATGGCCGTGTTGTTTTTAATTCATCTGATAACAGTCCTCCATTGCGAACTGAGGAGGAATTTAGAGCATGCCTATACAGCAACCATCAAACATCACGCTCACCATTAATAGATGCAGGACTGTTTTGCATAAATACCTTCCCACTTGACTACATGCATTTAGTTTGTCTAGGTGTAGTGAAGAGGATTCTTATGTTCCTGAAGCAAGGTCCAAGGGAGTGCAAGTTGTCACAACAACAACTTAAATTGATATCAGACAAACTAAAAAACCTCCGTGGGAAAATGCCAAGGGAGTTTGCTAGACAGCCACGTTCTCTTGAATTGGACAAATGGAAAGCAACAGAATTCAGACAGTTTGTCTTGTACAGTGGGCCCTTAGTGCTGAAGTCTGTTCTTTCTAGGGCTATGTACAACCATTTTTTAACATTGACCGTGGCCTTAAGCATTCTTTTAGACTCAATTAAAGAAACCAGAAATGCCTACTTTGATTATGCCATAGAACTTATGACATATTTTGTGAAGAATGCCACAACTCTATATGGAAATACATTTGTTTCCTATAATGTTCATGCATTGGTCCATGTTACTGATGACGTAAAAAACTATGATACATCACTCAACGATTTGAGTGCATTTCAGTTTGAAAATTATTTACACCAGATTAAAAAGAAGGTTAAAAATGGACAAAACCCTATTGTGCAAGTAGTCAAGCGATTGACAGAGGCAGAAAAGTCTAATATTCGTCGTATTCATAGTAATACCTTTATGTATGTATCCATGAAAAAAAAAGGATGGTTGTTTTCTTCTCTGGAATCAGAATTTCGCCTTTGTCAGAGAACGACGCCCAGGAAAAAAATATGTTTGTGATATATTAAAGCCACAATATACTGAACAATTTTTCAAGGAGCCATGTGATTCCAAATTGATTAACATTGCTGTTGCTAAAAACATAGAAAGATATGCTTCAAGGCAAATGGTGGAAGAAGCTGACATTGAAAGAAAAGTTGTTTGCTTGCCATATGAAGGAGGGTACCTGTTGATGCCTATGTTGCATGGTATTGAGAGACATTAGGTAAAGATTCAATAACATATACACATTCATATTTTAAGCTAATGTGTAATGGTGTAAATAGATTTACAAGTTAATACTACAAAATGCATGTTAGAGGTTTATTGAATGTAAAACATAGAATGTTTTAATACTAGAATGGGCCTAAATTCCTTTTGTGAAATATTAAACATTTTTTAATGCATTTAAGGTACATTAGAGAGTTGGAAAAACACCCTCTTTAAAAGAACAAAATATAATAAAATTCATGTTATAAAATGTGATAATTTTAATTTTGTGCATCCTCAGGCATGATAAATTAGTGCATGAAGCATCATGGTACATTTTCACGCATGTTGTAGCATTAGGTTACAATATTATTGTTAATTCATATATTACAACTTTTTCATAGGAAAATAGTGAAGCAACATGGCGTTGGCTGTTTGGAAGGAGCAGGGTGAAGAGGAGGAGGGAACTTTACCACTCTCTTGGATTGGAGAGAAACACATCATGTGGCCACCTGGCACCAATGTAAAAAGGTTAATGAAAGAGATGAAAAAACCAAGTGACAACTGGATGAAGTTTGAGTTGGTAAAAATCAAGTTTAAATCTAGTAAGTATAAATTTATTTTATTTATATCATGCATATATATATATACAAAATTTGCAAATAAACACAATTCTGAAAGCTCTTGTCCTTTTTTAATCTGTTTAAAATTTTACAATGCTGATTAAGGTGTTGATTGAGTGGCTTCTGTAGACCTTAAACTTTCAAAAACTGTTATACATGTACTTTTATTTTAGTAGTCAATTATAAATCTGAAAGTACCAACACTACATTTTAATCAGAATGTTTGAAAGGACCATTAAAAAAAGTATTTCCTTTTTTCTGTTCGTCTACTTCAATTTAAACCATATTAGAATAAAGAATGTAAACAGGGAATATGTCAAAAAGACAACAACTCTACCAAAATAAAACAACCCAAGACCACCAATTTGAAAACCTGTACCCAGAGTTGGGCTTGAGCAGGCCTGGAAACACTAATGTATACCAGACCATGAGGATTGATCCACTCGAAGCAAAATAGAAAAAAAAACACAACTAACAAACTATTTATATATGCAAAAAAAATTGTTTTAAAAGATGGGTGCACTTTTTACTAGTTATTGTAATTATTTTGATCTAAACATTTGGTTATTTCTGGAAAATTTTATGTATTAAAAAATGTTGAACTTTATATTTTGATATATTTACAGACAAAAGAAAAGAATGTGAAGATTATGACTTTACCACTACAGCTGAATTATCTCCTGATGAAGCTGATAGTGATCATGGGAAAAAAAAAGGATACTTAAGAAAAAAGTGTTCCAAGACTTTATTACAGGTATAAATTTCTACCAATAGATGTCGCCATAAATCAAATAATATCTTTTGAACAATAAAAACAATTCCAGTATTTATATTGATACTTATTAACTAATAGAGAAAAAAATAATGTTTTTCTTCTGAGCAAAATTATGTGTCTCATTCTAAGAAGTCCATCAATTATTTATTCATTGATAAGATATTATTTCAACTTATGATGTTATAAATTAGTTTTAATTTCCAGTTGTCTGCCATTTGCTGAGAATGTGTTTGTCAGTCCAATTTATTTTGTGTACTTTAAGTATCAGACATATTAAAAGTGCTGGAGCTGTAAATCAATATATGGATGCTGCTATATATATAACAATAAGGATCAATATGATCATTCTTTCTCAAAGAGGATATAAATGCAATACTGGATCAATTTTTGAACCAGATTAAAGGCTATTTCCTGTATTGCAGATCACACAAAAAATGTTTTGCTGACCTTTGGACTCCATTTATTTCAGCCGATGTCCCTAAACATTTTGCCAGGTTTTTTTTTTGCCTATAAATAATTTTACCATATTTTCTATATATTTCAGAAATTGGTAATGAAGAAGGCACAAAAGCTACTGATAAATCAGGTACAAAAAATATTCTCTCGCTATTCATTTGTTTTTACCTAATTTATTATTTTATGTCAACAAATAGCTGCTTAAAATCAATGTTATAAATAATATTCAGACAAGTTTTTTGCTCTATCTAACAAGTAGTTGTGAGAAAAGTTAATGTTGAACCCTGTTTTTTTCTGTTTAATTTAAAATGTACCACATTGTAAAACTGCTTTTATTGTAGTTGGAGCATCTAAAAATGGAAAAAATAAGGATAAGGGTGAAAGTCAAGCTACTGTTCCAAGAAACCAAGGTAAGGAAAACAAAATCAGCTTAAAATTTGTGCATGATTATATATTTGTTAAAGTTAAAGACTTTAAATGTTATAAGTACATATATACATATACATGTATGCTTGAGTAATGTTATAGTTTGAAGAAAAATGCTTTTTAAATTAAAATCCAGACTTTCATGACATGCAAACTTACGAGACTTGAGCCATTGAAAAATCAAGGTTATCTTAATCAGTTCAAGGGTTTCTGTTTTACTAATTTTAACTAGCAGTATAATTGTGGTTTTGTCATATCATTGTCTAAAGCATTTGATTTGAAGTTTGATGACTGTCTATCGTAGTTATGTGTGTAATTTTAGTGTATGGTTTCATTTCTTAAATTGTGTCATAGAGTTATACATTTGTAATTATGATACATGCATGTACAAGATCCTTTAATGTCAATTCAACAAAGAATAACACACCATACAAGATGTTATTTTAAGCATAATTTAAGTTATTCACTTAATTTCAGAAAAATCTTCATCAATGCCGAAGCCTCCCACAAAGTTAATTGAAAGAAACGCACAGTGCAAAGAATTGGGTGAGTTTGATAAATAGCTTTAATTAAAATATACATTGAACTTAATTTTTTTGTTAACTCCTGTGAAATATTGGTTGCCACCAGAGATAAAAAAGGTGTATTATTAAATGAATAGATTATTCAAAATGATGCCTAGAGGATTGTGTTTTCTTTTTTGTGGAAGTATGCTGTCTAATGAGTCCATTGCTTTCAAATTATCTTTATGAAAACTAGATCTGGGTATCAATAAATATGAAGTTGTTAAATTTTCAATCAAAATTACTTCTGTTTACCAAAAATAAATTGGTGGCCCTTTAGTAGAATAAGCCTGTTGAATAAACCATTTTAAGGGTACAGTGAAACCTGACTAAACCGAACCTCTTTGGGACTTGATATGTTGTTCGGTTTTGGCAGGTATTCGGTTTAATCAGGTTCATAATGCATAAAATGTGATATGATTGGTCTTCAGAACAAGTTTGTTTTAGACAGGTTTTCGGTTTAGTCAGGGTTCGGTTTAGTCAGGTTTCACTGTACATGTTTGTATCCATACGGGGCCACCTTTAAAAAACTAGTGTTTGGTGTTGCCTTATATTATCACAGTCTGTGCCAAAAACTTTTTCATCTACTTGTACGAAATCTAAATATCAAAATTTGTCCCTATATGCCTATATTAAATTTTGGAAATTGGTACTAGTCCAAATCAATATTTACTAGTATGGTTCATAGGACTAGTGGCAACCTCGGAGCAGGAAATAATCTTAAAATTTTTTTTGTGAAGGCTGCTTTTTAGGAGAAAAAGGCATGTTTCGATGAATTTTAATAGAAAATGTTATTTATGACGTAGACTGTTCCTGTTGTCTTTTTTATGTGCTTTTGTTATATGATTGCTTTAAATGGAAAAAGAAATAATTGTTTGCCTTCTTTTTAACTCCATAGTTACAGAGAAGAAGAGTTCCAGTCAGACTTCTAACCACAGAGATTCTAGATCGCCATCAAAAAAATTGAGTTCCAGTCAGACTTCTAACCACAGAGAGTCTAGATCGCCATCAAAAAAATTGAAGTCTACAAATACATTGAAGTCCACAACAAGACCATCTACCAGGCAAGAATCACCACCATTTCGTCAGAAGTCAAGATCTCGATCACCACTTATCACACAGAGGTCCAGATCAAGATCAAGATCCCCACCATTATCTCAGAGGTCAAGATCTAGATCTCCATCAAACAATCAGACATGGAGATCTAGATCAAGAAGCTATTCACCGCCGACAGATATTTTTTCAAAACTAAAATCTATTTATTCCTATTCGTCCAAGTCCACAACAAGATCACCAACAACACAGAATCCATCACAAAGAAAACCGTCAAACACAACTCAAAAATCCACAAGACCTTCAATAGAGGAGATATTACAAGAATTGAAAAAAAGATCCTCACATAGTCTCCATACTCAGAAATCAAAATCTAGTGAAGATAGGTCACATTCAACAGGGAACAGTCAAGGGTCTAGATCTTCCTCACCTCTTGAGGATTATCTACTGCCAAGCTCACAATCTCAACCACAGAGAGTTTCTACCAACAACAACAGAGCAAGGTCTAGATCACCACTAGAGGATTGGCAGTCATTCAGCAGCAACATAAGCTCAAGGTCTCATGTCAGGGAAAATACTCCAACACCAGCTGCAAAAAATATACCATCTGGCAGAAAGACGAGTAACAATTCAGAGACATTTCCATTGTCTGATGAACGTAAGTGTAAATTTACATCTGCATTTCAAAATGATATCACACAAAATTTTGAATCAAACACTAGGAAATACCTTCAACATGCCTTACTATTTTGATATTTACCTGCACCACACAACTACTACTTCAATTGTTGGTTAACCCTAGATGTTTCAGTTTTATTTTGATATTTATTAAGGAAAGGTTTTGAAAATACTAATTTTTTTCTTATGAGAGCTTTCTGCATAGAAATTGTTTTTATGCCCCACCTACGATAGTAGAGGGGCATTATGTTTTCTAGTCTGTGCGTCCGTTTGTCTGTTCATCTGTCTGTCCTGTGTCAGGTTAAAGTTTTTGGTCAAGGTAGTTTTTGATGAAGTTGAAGTCCAATCAACTTGAAACTTTGTACACATGTTCCCTATGATATATTTTTAATTTAAATGCCAAATAAGGGTTTTGACCCCAATTTCACGGTCCACTGAACATAGAAAATGATAGTGCGAGTGGGGCATCCCTGTACTATGGACACATTCTTGTTTACATATAATACATGTCACATTTACACCCTTACTATATATATGTATTGAATATACTGGGTATTTAAGACAAGGCATTGTAATGTTGCATTAATCATAGATTGGTTTTATCATTTTAGGTTTCCAGAGAAGAGTATTGTTTTTACTAACAGAAACAAGAGACCTGCTAAAAAAAAATCAGTGTGCCACAACTGCACAGACACACTGTGAACTTGAAAGGGCGGAAACCTTAGAAGAATTTTTTGAATTGGAAAATGCCTTGGATGATGTAGCTCAGCAGACAAGATTGGTTAGTTTTATATTACAGTTTATGTTTTTTTATAAATATAATGTTTTGTTCTGACATATAATATTTAAAAATAATTATCAGAATACATGCTTGATAATGATTCTTTTGAAACTAGACATTTTTACTATGATTCTCCTTTAAATTATTTTATTTGTTTTTATTAGTTTCAGATGAAAATTATGCTTTGCACAGGAAAGTGATACATATTAACAATGATAATTTTTCGGAAAAATAAGCACATAAAGAATTTTAATTTCTCACAGACACATTTGTTGTTTTGAAGGGTCATTGTTAATTTCAGTCAATGCATACAAGTATACAAAAACCATTTTTGTTTATAGACAGAATATTTGAGAAGAATTGGAGGTGCTGGAAGCAGTGACCTTATGAAGAAAGCCATGACAAGGTAAGTTGAAAGAGACGACAATTTATTTACAAAAGTCTGTCGAAAAGATTAAATAATTCTGTTAATGCCAGTTGAAAAAGTAATTCATTGTGTTTAAGGGGCACTAGCTTTGGAGTTTATAAAAATTAAATGATTTTTTTTTGCAAACATTTATGTGGAATTTTAAAATAATATTTCGCTATTAGCAGTCAGTTTGGTTTACATTTTGTCATAATGAGCTAATAAATTCTCTAAATGTATTACTCAATTGAAACTGAATAATTCACTTGTTTAAATTCATATTACTTTGAACTTCAATTTGCCCCTTAACTGGCATTTGTTATGTATGAGCTTAGCAAGTTTAGTTAATATTGAAAAGAAAGAAATATCAACCTTTCAATAGAATGGTCAATTGCACTTCCTTAATTGTCTTTTATTTTGACATATTTTGTAACCAGGTTGAAGAAAAAATGTTATACTGGGTATTTTATTTTAATGTAGTTAGATATTGAAACTGCATATTCACTTTTAATATGTATGCAAATTTTGTTTTTTTTATACCCTGAAAAAACAAAATTTAGGGGATATATATGATAAATATTTCTTGTCAGAATTTCAAGGGAGATAATTGATTTTACTTAGTTAATATTGCAATAAATGGCAACAAGTCTTGTAAGCACAACTACTAACAAATTAATCAATATTGATGAAACTTTACACAGTTGTTGTACACAACCCGAAGATGTGCATGATGGAGGATATTTCTGATCTGATTTTTTTCAAGGGAGAAATTGCAATTACTTAATTTAAATATCACAATATGTGGCATAACGGGATGGGGGTATCCTTAGTGAGTTAACTCATAGTTTTATGCAATACTCTTATAATGCATAATACTATCCACACTCATCTGTATCCACTTGTTTTTATTAGCAGTAGAAACCTGTATTCAAATATTTAAACTTCAATCCTAAGAAAATGAACTAGGTTGAAATTAAGTGGTCATATTGTATCAGATTTATATTTTGTGTTCCAGAATGATGTCAAACATTGTCATGGCAAGAATGAACCTAAAAGGGAAAAAGAATAAGATAGCTTTCCTAAAAACAAAGCTTTACAAAGTGATCTCAGGTAAGCTTTGATAAATCAATAAACATGACAACATTATTAATTTATAGACATTTTGATTTGCTGAACTTTTGAAAAAAAACTTTAAAAAAACCATGCATTCAATGGATTGAAACTAGACTTTGAACAGGTGCCAATTAAAAATTAAAAATTGCCACCATGGAAGGTAAAAGTTTTGTAAAGATGATCTATTATCTAGCATTTATATATATATTTTATATTATCTTTTTGATATAATTTGATTATTTTATATATAAATTAAAGAGAAAATAAAAAAAATATTCACTTTATTCAAGTAATTAGTTTATGTTGTTGAACAGGATTTTTTTAGCATTGATATCAATCAAAAATGAAATTAGTTGCAAGCTTACTTACAAACTCCAAGGAATATTATTTGAATTGTAATTTGGGCTTCTTATTTTTGATAAATAAGTGTAAATAAGTATGTGATGATAGAAGGGTTAGCAATTTCAGGCTCTTAGGGACTTGATGGGTGCTTTGAATGTGACCTGTATAGAAACAAATTGAAATTTCAACAAAATGTTTTCAGCCTGGTGGCATATTTCTATCTAGAAATTGTTATAAATTTATTGCAAGGAATATAAATTATAAACAATGATATTTTTCATTTATTTTACTCAATGTATGTTTTTTTTTACCAACTAATTCTAAACTTCACTAGAAGCCTTACAGTAAGCTTTATTTGCATCAACCCTCCATTTTCAGCAAAGTACTTGTTGTGTTATTTATATTTTATTGAGTGTGCAAAGTTTTGGCAAATGACACTGTTCACAATAATTGATTTGAAGTATACATATTTTAAGACTTACCATGATGTATATGTGTTTACAGGATGCGTAATGATGGTGTATCCTGAGATCACAGAAACTAAAGTAAAGGAAGATATTGGGAAGTTTTTAAAATATGCCCCCGAGAGAGCTGGAGGAGGGGGAAGGACCAGCAAAGATTAATCCATTTACAAAAATAAATTCAATTTTAAACAAATTTATTGCATTCATTTCACTTACTTCAATCAAGAAAGGTGTCCAAAATTAGAGCAGACATCAGTGAAATTCTAAAAGAACTTATTTTATCAGTTCACTATTTCTGTGTGTAACTACAGTTACAGAAAAATACTCAAAACTTGATTTACCGACGATAAATTACTGTTTGCTGCTTAAAATAAATAACCTCAATTCAGACCGACTTATAGGCGGGTCAAGCCTGAATCCTCAGATTTTCAAACTGAAAAGGGCATCCGACTTATAGGCAGATTGACTTATAAGCGAGTATCTACAGTAGTTTCTTTGCTAGCTGAACCGTGAAGTCATTACTAGCTCGGATTAATACCTCCTTTGGGCGGAGTCTAGTCAGTCAGAGAACCAATAAAAAAGTGTAAACATAAACATTGTACTACAGTTTTACCTATTTAGAATCCACATGCAAGACTCATTCCATATTTGGAAGGTGTACATGAGCTAATAATGACTTTGTGGTTCATGTAGCATGGAAGCTAATCAAACAGTTTGGTTTTACCTACACTTTAAGTCCGATGGCTGTAATAGGTATTTTTTTATTTCTCATTTTATATATAGATGAGACTCTTGGTTTTCCTGTTTGTATTGTTTAACACTGATATTTTTGCCTTGATAGCTTTCTGTTGTGTGAGTCAAGACGTCTTTCCCTGTTGAAGGCAATTATTAACCTATAATTGCTTACTTTAACAAAGTTGTGACTTGGATGGAAAGTTAGTCTCATTAGCATTCATACCACATCTAATTTATACTGTTCACCTTAATCAACTGTTTTCCTTTTCATCGATTATTCAATTTCAGTCAGTCTACCAAAAATCAGCCTTGTTGAAACCTTGAAATAATTGTTATTTACATATTGTCAACCAAAAATCAACCTTATTTCAACGTTGAAATATGATGTTGTTTCAACGTCAACCTTTCAACCTATTCTCAACCAAAAATCAATATTGTTTCAACGTCGAAATATGACGTTGTTTCAACGTCACCTTTTCAACGTCATCTCAACTTTCAAAATCAACAGTTAAATCAACGTCATTTCAACGTTGAAACAACGTTGAAATGCCTGGTGGGATAGTATCAACAGGTCAAATTAAACTATTTGTCAAAACTACTGTTCAGGTAAGTCGGATGTCTAACAACTTCAAATTATCGATGGTGGTTGTCTAACAACTTCAAATTATCGATTTCCAAATATTGTTTACAGGAAGTGAAAATAACAGAAATAAATAATCATTACTTACTTTTTCGGAACATATAATACATCAGCGTCCTGTCATTTAGCTTAGTTATACATGTTTGTATAATGGCATTTATTAAGGACATAAGGACTACATTGCCTTATAAATAAAAATCCGGCTGTATAAATCCTGCACATAAGTCAAAACGTAGAGAGCAAAACTATAACCTTAGAGGGGGTCAAGTGGAACCAGTCACTTGAGGGACAACACTTTTCACACTGGAATTATTTTTGTTTATTTTTATCTGTGTAAACTATTGTAATAGAATGAGAGAGAAATAAAAACAACATGTAAATAGTAACTTTATACAGAAACACGTGTTTCACATTTTTCAATATTTTTCAAATTACTAAAAAAAATTTCATTATGTCTCATAGAATACTTTTTTACCAAACTCTTATACTTCATGTTTTTGTTCGATTTTATGTAATAAGTGGTAATATGACCGCAAAAGAAATATTTGGAAGTGTCAAAAACAATATTCTGAAAAAAGAGTAAAAATTATAAAAAAGAAGATGTATGTTTGATACTTTTATTAAATTTAAGCGTTGGTATTTAACATGTAAATATATTTTAAACGAGAAAACTTACAAATTTATAACAAAACTGTTACAAAAACAAATTTAATAGGCATGAATTAACGACAACCACTGAAATACAGTTTCCTGCCTTTGGAGAGTTCTATTAAAACTGTGGCAGGGTTTAACATGTTTGTGAGCAATGGCCTTGATAAATATGCAACAGATGAGTAGACGAAAAGCGCGCCCTCGGTTACCAAATTATCACTTTGGAATATTTGATAAGTCGTAAAACTATTGGGTCGATACAACCTCTGATGAAAGTCCATAGGATATTTCTGGCACAATAGTCACCACTATATAATTAAAAAAAATATATTTGTTTTCTGTACATCAACTGTTCATTATAATCAATGTATTCAAAACAGTAAGGCAAGTTCTACACCCAGACATTCTAATGATAGTAATAAAATGTTAGGTTCTATCACTGAAAATCATCAAGTCGTGTTATGAGGAGGATCATATATTCAATTCCCTGTTAAAGAATACTTGGTGTTGTTGGAACTCGTATTGAGTTTGATGAATGCATAGCATATTTGAACCTTTTTTCGGCGATCTAGCATTATTCGTGACAATATATATATAATCCAACAATCGTTTATATGTCAACACATTTGAAATACATACCTGTCAATTCAAAGTTAAGATAAAGTGAATTGTCATCTGTTGCTCGACCTATGTCGGTGATATCTGAAAAAAGGATGATAACAGCTAACGTATGAATAATACATATATTTTCTGAACTGCATCTGAAGACTTTAAACTTGAAACAACACAAGGAAGCGTTGATTCTACAACAATGAAAGCACGGTAAGTTGATAGGAGGAAGTCATGGTAATAGTTAGAATAAATAAAGGCAACAGTAGTATACCGCTGTTCGAAACTCATAAATCGATAGAGATAAAAACAAATCCGGGTTACAAAGTAAAACTGAGGGAAACGCATCAAATATAAGAGGAGAACAACGACACAACAAAAACACAACAAAAACACAACAAAAACACAACATTAAAATGTAACACACACAGAAACGAACTATAATATAACAATGGCCATCTTCCTGACTTGGTACAGGAGATTTTAAGAAAAAAATGGTGGGTTGAACTTGGTTTTGTGGCATGCCAAACCTCCAGCTTTTATGGCAACGTAAAACACAACACCAAAACGACAACATCACATGACAGGACCACAATACAAATAAATGTGAGAACATATAGGACAAAGAAACACGCGAATAATAGCTAACAAAAGGTACTAGGCTTAAAATTCAATACACCAGACGTGCGTCTCGTCCACACAAGACCAACCAATGACGCTCAGATGAAAAAAGTTTGTGAAAGCCAAAACAAGTACAAAGCTGAAGAGCACAGAGGACCAAAACTTCCAAAACGGTGCGCCTAACACGGCCAGAGTTCTTTGTCTGGGACAAGAACATCCTTATTATTTATATTAGAATAATTTATAAGTTTGCAAACAGTAAATTTTATAAAATAACTATATATAAGATAAAATTAACGTATTGTACAGCAATTGATGTTATATTGCGCACCAAAGACGGAACTGTCGATGAATTTTCTTTTTTGTGCCATAGGATATCTGTTATATTGATTTACCCAATATATCAGTTTATTAATGTTGGGCAAATATCGATTATCTTAAAAAAAAATTAAGTTTTAAACTCAATCGACTAGTTTTGAAAAAAAATAATGTATCTTACCAGAATGCATGTGTTCTCTATTTTGCTTCCTTCCACTAAAAGACTCATCAACCGAAACAGACCTATTTACTCCAAAATATCCAGTTGAAGACTGACGTCCTTGTAAAACGTTTTGTTGCTCAAGTTTATTTCTTAATCTAGCTACAACTTTATGGAATGACAATTAAGATATTGTGTCAAGTTTACAATTGTACCGACTGCACACCATACATTATGCTGTTCATTTCACATGTTTCATTTGTGTTTTCTTATAAGAGAGAATGTGCAAATCTTTTTTATCGAAAATAAGGATGAAAAGTATTGATAATGTTATGTTATGAGTAAAGACTTCATATAAGAACATGATTTGCTTCAATACTTTTCAAGTACGCAGTGTTTTATCGTCTTTTTTTTTCTTTTGTTGTCGTGTTTTGTGTAATATAATTTAGTTATCTGATTCTATATCTACAGGGTATATTTTAAGCATTAACCAGCAATGTGTACATGAAACAACCGCTGGCATTATTTTTTTCCCCAAAGTTAAATATGAATATTATAAAAATGGGTGTGTGCAAAATAAAAGATCTAAAGGAAGCCTATGGACAATAGTTAGTTACAGTAATATATGATAGTGTTTGACAATATGTTTTCTTATTTTCTTTATATAATGCAGTTCATAGATTCTAGAAAAATGTTTCCTCAAAACCGTACATGAAACAATTGCCTATCCAAACCTAACAATTCGAATCATAATGAAAAATAGAATATTCAGAGTTTGGTAGGAAACAAAAAAGACACAAACAAGAACAGAACAATAGAAATAGAAAATTTAAATCTAATGTTTGATTTATTTTAATTGAAATATAATGCAAAATTTGAAAAAAATGTTATTTCATTCTATAATGGTATTGCTTCAATAACCATCATGACCATATAAACAAACTAATGACACTAGTTTTACTTTACATTTTAACAATAACTTAACAATTATCATCAAGAAAAAATCGAAAATCATATATAAACAATTTCTAAAAACCATTACAACCAGAAACAAAACAGAAATTATCAACTCGTAATATAAAAAAGAAGATGTGGTATGATTGCCAATGAGACAACTCTCCACAAGAGACCAAATTGTTAAGCATTTTTTTTTTTAATATTAAAAGACTTTCTTTGTATAATTTTTCGTCAGCTCTTTCGCGATAAAGTTTTTTTCGTTATATAAATATATATATGGCACAGATATGTAAAGATAAGTTATCACGCATGTTCAATGTAAGCAATTATTCTTTGGAAATTCGTATCTGATGGAAAGATGGATGTATTTGTTTTTCAAGTACATCAGAACCAGAACATGTTAATGTGATTTCAATATAATTTAATTTTGGATGTAACGCGTCTTCTGATTGGCTGACGTTGTTTTGTTT